CGTAAATTAGAAGCAAACCTGAAAGCCAACAGTTCAAACTTTAAAGCAAACTAGTACTGGGCGGGGGCAGCGGGGGCGGTTCCCTCCCCCTACCATGCAGAATAAGAAAAATTTCAGCTTCATGCCAAAAAAAAAATATTAAAGCCATCAGGCCACCTTGTGACTTGCTTTAGATTGTGTGTGCTCCCCTTTGGGAGCTACTTTGCAGACTGTGGGGACTAGGGACGTTGGTTTAGACAGCGCTGTTGATTGGCAGACAGTGTGAAGCTTCCGGATTGGTCGGGGGATTAGTACAAGCGCCAGGAGTGTGGCCTCTGGACCTGGCGCGGCCTTCTCCCTGCATCGCTTCTGACCCCCCCAGTGCCAGCCAAGAGCCTCGAAGGAGGCCGTCTCCCAGCAGGGTCCTCTACATGGCCGACAGTCTGTTCCCGGTGGAAGCAGGCCCCTTGCCCTAGATATTCTGGCTGCCCCCCAGCTCCAGTGGCTCCCTCTCCATCTGCTCAGCGCCTCTTCCAGACCACCTTGTTCTTTGCTCCTAATCTTCCTTCTGTCTCTCTGGCCAACTCCCTGGCTGATCTTCCCTGCCATGGATTGTAATCAATTGTTTGAACAGATGATCACACACACACACACTCACGCAGACACAAACACACACATACACACAGGGAAGCAGTTTTATTTTAATATTTTATTATATTTTCTAGCATGATGCCCACCGGCTCTTCTCAATTTTCTGGCAATCAGGGTGTATGCTTTTGTTTGTGAGCTGCGTGTCCCTCTTGCACTCAGAGGTTCATTTCTTATATTGTGTTAGCATTAGAAAGAGGCACATTCAGAGTTATTTCGGGGAGGGGGGGCGGCCTTCTGGATGCAGCACTGCACCTGGAATCGCAAGATGCCCCTGTGGAGGGGAGTATTGCCTGGGTGTTCTGCGCGGGTGGTTATTCTGCTTTCTGATCAGGCCAGAGCAGGGACGGATGCAGAGAGACAACGGACAGCCTCTTCCGCAGGCAGGTCATTCTGCTGCATCACAGGACTGGGAGTGATTTTTGAGTGCTCAGATTGCCTGCAACTGACAGACCCAGCAGAACTATTTATCCAGGAACTATTTATCCAAGCTGTGGTCAGTGTGAAGCAGCTGTGCATGGAGCAGTAACTCATGCAGAGACACAGCAAGCGGCCTCCTCCTGCTCCTCTGTCAATTATTTGATTTGATTCTGAGGGCCTGTGTTTCGTGACTTCTATGTAGGGCCTTGACTGAAAGTATGAGCCTATGCCAGCCTCATCTTCCTTTCCCTCTTAGCTTGGCCCTCAGTTTTCTTTCCTGTGGCTGTTTGCGCCCCTCCAGGCAATTGGGGGGAGTGGCAGCATCTTCTTCTCCCTGTGACCAGTTCTGACTCACCTGTTGGGAAGGATGGGGCTGATATGGCAGTAGCAGGAGAGCAAAGCAACCCAGCCAGCCGTGCCGACAGATAGGAAGGAGCCGCCAATGAAGGCGGAACGACACAGCATAGTTGGAGAGGTTTGTCTCCTGGAAAGATTTCTGCCCATCCCCAGAGCCAGTTTGGTGTAGTGGTTAAGTGCGCGGACTCTAATCTGGGAGAACCGGGTTTGATTCCCCACTCCTCCACTTGCACCTGCTGGATGACTTTGGGCAAGCCATAGTTCTGGCAGAGCTGTTCTTGAAAAAGTGCAGTTTCTGTCAGAGCTCTCTCAGCCCCGCCTACTTCACAGGGTGTCTGTTGTGGGGAGGGGAAGGGAAAGGAGTTTGTAAGCCGCTCTGAGACTCCTTTGGGTAGTGAGGGGGGGGGTATAAATCAAATTTCTTCTTCTTCTTCTTCTTTGCCAAAGGTCTCTGGGGCAGCTTCAAAACATAAACCATACTGAATCACAAGATAGTCCAACAAAACCATGATTAAGAGAAGAAGAAGAAGAAGAGATTGGAGAGGAGGAGGAGGAGGAGATTTGATTTATACCCCATCCTTCACTACCCTGTGAGGTAGGAGGGGCTGAGAGAGCTCTTTCGAGGACTGCTCTTGAGAGAACAGCTCTGAGAGAACTTGTGACTGACCCACGGTCACACCGACAGCTGCATGTGGAGGAGTGGGGAATCAAACCCAGTTCCTCCCAGATTAGAGTCCGCACACTTAACCACTACACCAAACTATCTCTCAAAGATGCGATCAGCATAGGCAGCCATGCTCAGTGAACCAGGACAGCCCAAAAGGGAGGCTGAATGGAGGCATCAGCTTCCGCTAGAGGGCAGCATGGACACCTTCGGGGGCATTTATTTATTTATGTGCATTATTTTTAGTCCCCCCCTTTTCACTGGGACTCAAGGCTGATCACATAGAGAGAATCAATACAATCGACAGGTTGGAACATTCCGTGAACAATGCAATAGAGTTGGGGTTGCAGAACCAACCAGAACTTTTAAAAAGCGCAACGGAAATAAAGCGTGAAGTGCCAGTATGATGCATTAAATGATGCAAGACTCCCTCGTAGGATCTGACTGACAGCAAACTATGCACAGCAGTATGGACGGGTCCCTAATGATTTATCCAAGTAACTCTGTGAGGCATTCCGTACAGTCGTGCCCTATTGTCCGCATAGAAAAGCCCTTTTGAATAATTCGGTTTTGCCTGGTTCGCAGAAAGCTGGAGGGGGGGGGCCTTCCTGGTCCTCCGGCGGGCCATTCCACCAGGCGGGGGCCACCACAGAGAAGGCGTCTGTACAGGCAGTAGTTGATTTTGCCCATTTACAGGTTGGCACCTGCAGAAAGCCCCGCGCAGGTGAGTGACGCTGATGTGGTGGAGCATGGGGGAGAGACGGTCGTGGCGTGATCTGGCCGTGTGGGAGGGTGGTTTATTATTTGCCCTTTGCACACTGGTGCTCCAGGGCCATGGTGATGCATCCCCCCCCAAAAAAAAATCCTGTGGGCCCTGGAGGCCTCACTTCAGGTAGGGAGTCAGGGGTATCTACAGCCTTAGAAAATCAATGGGATGCTGCTTAGGGGAGTAGTGGCCACTGCTGGATTGGGCTGGGCGAGAAGAGGAGGAGGAGATGGATGGATTGATCGATTTATACCCTCCCCTTGACTCCCCAAAGGAGTCTCAGAGCGGCTCACAATCTCCTTTCCCTTCCCCTCCCCACAACAGACACCCTGTGAGGTAGGTGGGGATGAGAGAGCTCTTTCGGGGACGGCCCCTGAGAGAACAGCTCTGAGAGGACTTGTGACCAGTGTTCCCTCTAAGCTGAGTTGGTGTGAGCTAGCTCACCGTTTTTTAGCTTCCAGCTCACACATTTTTGTCTTAACTCAGGAAGGATGGCTCTAGAGCAAACTGATTTATGCAGCAGCCAAATCGCTTGCTCACAACTTTAATGCCAGTAGCTCACAAAGCAGAATTTTTGCTCACAAGACTCCACAGCTTAGAGGGAACATTGCTTGTGACTGACCCAAGGTCACACCAGCAGCTGCATGCGGAGGAGTGGGGAATCAAACCCGGTTCTCCCAGATTAGAGTCCGTGCTCCTAACCACTACACCAAACTGGCTCTCTGGAAAGGGTGGCAAAATGGAAGGGAGCACCATGTACCGTAGCGGTTTCTTCTGATGGCTGTCGGTGGACTCTGGTTGGTGGTCAGCCCCCTAGGAGAAAGTGGGCCTCAGCAGGTGCCCGGCATTGCCAACCCCTGGGACAGGACGCGTCTATCCCATATGGCATAAAACAGGCCCACCACCACCATTTTGACCATGCGGGCACCTTTACAATTCTGACATAGCACGGTGGCCACAGTCACAAAATGGCTGCTGCAGGAGGCGGAGCCAGCCACAAAATGGCTGCCATGGCTTGCCTTCAGTCACACACGAAGACCCTAATGCTGTGACGGCAGTCGCTGCCAAAGCCAGGTTTTAAAAAATCTGCTCAGCGGTTTAAATTTCCAGTGGCCATTTAGAAGCCTTTCTCTGCAAAGGCCCCGCCCAGCCTCTCCCTCTTTCCAAAAAACACTTGGCGGGCACCATGAAAGGTATTGGTGAGTGCCACGGTGCCACCGTGTTGAGTAGAGGACCCTCTTCTGAACCTCTTTCCGTAACACTCTCTTTCAGCTCCCCCCACCTTCCAGGAGACCCCGCCGGCTTTCGTAGAAGTGCAAGACCGAGAGCCCCTCACTCTCACCTGCTCTGCTGCCGGCAACCCTCAGCCCGTCATCACTTGGAAGAGGGACAACCAGGCCATACGCGGTGGAGACAAAGTGCAGGTACGACTGCGCGTGCATATCCCGGGACATGCCTTGAAATAACCGCAAACACCATCCCATTGCAAGGCAGGAATGGGGATTTCAGACAGAACTGTAAAGCCGTTGCAGAATTCCCCAGGACTTTAGACCTTTCCCTGCAAAAGGGGCAAGCATGCTTCTACACCTCATGGCCGTGGAGCGGGTTTTGAAAGCCTGCTGACCTTGCCACCCACACAGCGAGATCTTAAGCAGAGTTGTACCCTTCTAAGCTCATGGATAGCTGTTGATTTAGAGGGATGGAACTCTGTTTAGGATAGCACGTTCAACTTCCTGTCTGAAAAGGGTCTGCCTGTCCTGTCTGGATGCCCTTTGTGCTTAGCACACATGTCTAGAACAGACATGTGTGCTAGCAGTCGGGTTAGAACGGATAAGAGGAAGTACTTCTTCAGCCAAAGAGTGATTCACACATGGAATTCACTGCCACAGGAGGTGGTGGCGGCCACAAGCATGGACGGCTTCAAGAGGGAATTGGATAAGCATACGGAGCAGAGGTCCTTCAGAGGCTATTAGCCACAAGGTACAGATAGGAACTCTTGGTCTGGGGCAAAGGATGCTCTGTATTCTTGGTGCTTTGGGGGGGGGCAGTGGGGGGGCTTCTAGTGTCCCAGCCCCACTGCTGGACCTCCTGATGGCACCTGGTATTTTTGACCATTGTGTGACAGTGTTGGACAGGATGGGCCACTGGCCTAACCCAACATTGGCTTCTCTTATGTTCTCTTATGTTCTTATGTTACCCCCTATGTATTCCTTAAAATCCCTGCACAAGACTCACCTTTTCTTTGCGGGAGGGATGTGTAAGGGTTTGTGATGGGGGGGGGGTTTTCCCACAAGCACCACTTTAATTTAAAAAAAAAAGAAGCTTAAATAAATTAATACTCTGCCGGATCCCGCCGAAGTTCTCCGATCTCCTATCGCAGCTAAAAAACATTGGCGCATCCCTTCACCCACCAAATCAAATTTCCATCACACTGGTTGTCACTGCTACTTGCAATGGAAAAACAACCTTCGCCGACCCCCATCCCCAGATATCGGAGAGATCAGTTCCGGGATCCGGGGAGATGGGTTTTCTTGAGGGAATAACCAGAGAGAGAATTAATTTTCCATTTTAAAAAAAAATATGTTTTTTTTATTGAACTCCTTTTCCTGGGACCAGACTGACCCCTGCTGTCCATGCTGAGTAACACGAGTGAGTTTTCCCTTGCTCTGTTTTCATGGCATTAAGGCTGTATTCAGTGGGACAGCGGAGGAGTAAATTGTTGTTGTAACAGGCGGGCAGCTTTGGAAATGATTGATGCTATGACAGGCATTTTATCTGTGCAATGGGGAAGGGGATATGTTAATCAAGGCCAATCCCTTTTCAGTAGAAAAGAGCAAGAGTCCAGTAGCACCCGGGACAGAGGGCCTTGAGCAAGAGTCCAGTAGTCCAGTAGCACCTACTGCTAGTAAAGGTAAAGGTAAAGGTTCCCTTGCTCGAAAGCCAGTCGAATCCGACTCTAGGGTTGCGGTGCTCATCTCCGTTTCAAAGCCGAAGAGCCAGCGCTGTCCAAAGACGTTTCCGTGGTCATGTGGCCGGCATGACTAAACACCAAGGCACACGGAACGCTGTTACCTTCCCACCGAAGTGGTACCTATTTATCTACTTGCAATTTCTTGCTTTTGAACTGCTAGGTTGGCAGGAGCTGGAACTAGAGATGGGAGCTTACTCCGTCATGCGGCACGCCCGGGTCTCGAACTGCTGAACTACTGACGTTCCACAGCCTGCAGTTCAGCGTCTTAACCACTTGAGCCACCGCAGCTCCTTTCTGCTGCTACAGATAGGCTAAAACAGCTACCCCTCTCAATCCATCCCCCATCAGTCTCTTAAACTAGAAGAAACTCTTGTCCCTCCTGGAGTATTTCTATGCACTGTTATCTCATCTTTTCTTGAAGGAGTCCTAGGCGATGTTTGTGTTTCTAATTCCTCCTCCCCATGTAGAAACATGGAGCTGGAAGGGATCCCCAAGGATCATCTAGACCAACCCCCTGCACAACACAGGAAATTCAGAGCTACCTTCCCTCCCTACTCCCTCAGTGGCCCCTGTTGTATGTCCAGAGGAAGGCAGAAAACCTCCAAGATCCCTGGGCCAAATTCCTTCCCAACCCCAAAGTGGCAATCAGCTTTACCCTGGGCATGTAAGAAAAGGCCACAAGAGCCAAGCGCTGGCTCATCGCTTCCTGCCCTCCCTTCTCATGATCTGCCTAAGTTCTGCTGTCAGATGGCCATCTGGCTTCTCCCTAAAAACCTCCAAATAAGGAGAGCCCCCCACCTCCTGAGGAAGCCTGTTCCACTGAGGAACTGACTGTCAGGAAGTTCTTCCTCATGGTTAGCCGAAAACTCTTTTGACTTAATTTCAACCCGTTGGTTCTGGTCCGACCTTCTGGGGCAACAAAAAACAACTCTGCTGCCTCTTCTACGTGACAGCCCTTCAAAGAGGTAGTTTAGCCTGAGAGAGAGAGAGTAACTGCTCAGTGTCATCCAGGAAGCATCACAGCCCGGGCAGGTTTGTGGCTCGAGTTGGCACGACGACGGCAGAGAAAACTTTCTTATCTCGTGGTCTCGGGCTTTCTGTGCCATCCCGTCCATTCCCTCCCACGCTGGCTCCTCCCTCCTGCCCTTTCTCTGTCTTGTAATCAGGGCTCGGATGTCCTCAGGAAGCGTGGCCGCATCCTGATGGTGACGGGCGGGGCAGTGTTGCCCAAAGATAGCCGAGTTCCCCTTGATTACAGCCAGGCAGTGCGTGGGAGGGAGCAGGACCGGCTGAGAACAGGCTAGAAGCGAAGGCTTTCTCAAACACAAGGCTGAACCTAGTCTGCTGTGGTCCCAAGCACTGGCTCTGGGATTCAGAGGTTGACTGCCTCTGAATGTGGAGGTTCCCCTCAGGCACCATGGCTAGTAGGCACTGATAGACCTCTCCTCCGTGAACCTGTCTAATCCCCTTTTAAAGCTGTCTAAGTACTGGTGATAGGGGCCGCGGTGCCTCAGAGGTTAAGACGCTGAGCTGCGGGACTGGAAAGTCTGTAGTTCGGCAGTTCGAGACCCGAGTGTGCCGCATGACGGAGTGAGCTCCCGTCTCTGGCCCCAGCTCCTGCCAGCCTAGCAGTTCGAAAGCAAGAAACTGCGTATAGATAAATAGGTACCACTTGGTGGGAAGGTAACAGCGGCCCGTGCGCCTCGGCATGTAGTCATGCCGGCCACATGACCACAGAGAAGTCTTCGGACAGCGCTGGCTCTTCGGCTTGGAAACGGAGATGAGCACTGCCCCCTAGAGTCGGACTCGACTGGCTTTCGAGCAAGGGAAACCTTTACCTTTTACTTTAAGTAGTGGTGATGTGGATGGTGGGGAGGGAACGACCTCCTGTTCTTTTCTCTGTCCCTGCTGGGTCAGTCACAAGCTCCAAAGACACTGGCTCTAGACCCTATAGGGATAGGAGGAGCGTCCTGGCCACCTCTGAACTGCTCCTGTCCAAATGGGGCAGCCAAATAGCTCTCACCACACCTTCCTAAGGAGTAGGAATTCGAACCCAGGTCTCCGGGGCCCTAGTCCAACATCCTAGCCTCTTGACCACACCAGATCTCATCAGGGCATTTCAGGAAAAACTATCTGTCCGTTGTCGATCCATTCATCCAATCTCTCTCTGCTTTCTGGTCTGTCACATTTATCCTGCCAGAGTGCAGGATGACATATGTAGCTCCCATTTTATCCACACAACAACCCTGTGAGGTCGGTGAGTCTGAGCAGTTGTGACTATCCCAAGGTCCCCTGGCGAGCCAGCTGAACCGGGAGCTGGCACAGTGTACTATCTCGGCTTCTGCCAGAAGTTCACCTAGTTGGCTTTAAGCCAGCCAATCCTTCTCTGCCTCTGATCCCATCAGTATCATGGGGACAGTAATTCTGTCCTACCTTGCAGGGTTGTTGTAGATAGTCTGCGTAATGCTAAAACTTTAAATGTCAACTAAGCACTATACAATATTATATATGTGTCCATGTGTGTGTCTCTCCCTATATAGGCATGTAAGAATTTCCAGTCTTTTAAGAAGTTCCCATTTTCCATTAAAACATCAAAGAGTCTTGGCGGTACCTTATAGTCTAAGAAATTTATTGTGGCTGCGGCTTCCATAAGCCAGAGGCCCGCTTCATCAGATATGTCGCGGTTTTCGGTTAGCTTGAAGGGAAAAGGGAATTGCTTTAAAATGACCACGCTGTGCCGTCTGAGCCCTTGCAAGATTGCAAAGATATATAAATGAGGTTCAGAAAAGTTATTTGAACGATGCCAGCAGAAAGGCTGACTTTTTCCATAGGTGGTGCTTAGGCAAAGCCAGTAATTTCAGGGAAACAGTTGCTCAGACAATATCAAGTATGCTAACTATGCAATTACCAGAAACACCATTGATAGACTTGCACTGACTTGCATTAGCTAGGGCTGAGTCTCCTGGTAGTTTCAAGGTGGGCAGGACTCAGGAAAAATGGATTTCTGTTGCCTTTCTTTGTAACAGAAATGGATCCCTGAAGTCTAGCGGTTCATTTTCTTTAAGAAGCAAACAGTCTGTTGAGGGTTTTTTAAAAAAAATTTAAACTGCAATCCTGTGCTCACTCAGGAGCAATTAAAAATGTAAGAAGAGCCCTGCTGGGTCAGACCAGTGAGGGTCCATCTAGTCCACCATCCCATCTCACACAGTGGCCTCAACCAGTTCCTCTGGAGGGCCAACAACAGGGCAGAGGCCGAGGCCTTCCCCTCATAAGAACATCAGAAGAGCCCTGCTGGGTCAGATCAGTGAGGGTCCATCTAGTCCACCATCCCATCTCACACAGTGGCCTCAACCAGTTCCTTTGGAGGGCCAACAACCGGGCAGAGAGGCCGAGGCCTTCCTCTGATGAGAACATCAGAAGAGCCCTGCTGGATTAGACCTGTGAGGGTCCATCCAGTCCAGCATCCCGTCTCACACAGTGGCCTCACGCAGTTCCTCTGGACGGCCCACAACAGGGCAGAGAGGCCGAGGCCTTCCCCTCATAAGAACATCAGAAGAGCCCTGCTGGGTCAGACCAGTGAGGGTCCATCTAGTCCAGCATCCTGTCTCACACGGTGGCTTCAAACACACGGTGGTTCCTGGAGGGCCAACAACAGGGCATAAAGGCCTAGATCTTTTCCCAATGTTGCCTCCTGGCACTGGGATGCAGAGGTTGACTGCCTCTGAATGTGGAGGTTCCCCTCAGTCACCAAGGCTAGTAGCCACTGATAGACCTCTCCTCCATGAACCTGTCTAATCTCCTTTTAAAGCCGTCTACGCCTGTGGCCATCATTACATCCTCTGGCAGCGAATTCCATGTTTTAGTCACTCTCTGATTAAAGAAGCATTTCCTTTTGTCCATTCTGAATCTACTGCCCATCAGCGTCAGTGGATGCCCTTGAGGTCTAGTCTGAAACACAAAGGCATTGGTTTCTGAAAAAAAAGGTATCTAGGATCGGCTGCATGAGAAGTTCTGCATCTGACAGTAATATACATAAACCAAATCGACTTTGACAGTTAATGCCCCTATATGTCTAATGCAGGAAATTCACAGCTACCTTCTCCCCACAACCTCTCATGAACCTTGTTCCATGCCCAGAAGATAGCAAAAAATACCCCTCCAGGATCCCTGGCCAAACTGGCCAAGGGGAAAATTGCTTCCGGACCCCAAAGTGGCGATCGGCATTTACCTGGGCGTGTAAGAAAGGGCCACAAGAACTAAGCACTGATGCAACCCTTTCTGCCCTCCCTTCTCGTCATCTGCCCAAGTTCACAGAATCAGCATGGCTGTCAGGTGGCCATCTAGCCTCTGCTTGAAAACCTCCAAAGAGGGAGAGCCCACCACTTCCCGAGGAAGCCTATTCCACTGAGGAACCACTCTAACTGTCAGGAAGTTCCTCCTAATGTTTAGCCAAAAACTCTTCTGATTTAAAATCAACCTGTTGGTTCTGGTCCAACTTTCTGGGGCAGCAGTAAACAACTCCATACCATCCTTTATACGACAGCCCTTCAAGATGGTTATCATATCACCTCTCAGTCGTCTCCTCTCCAGGTGAAACGTACCTTTCCTCATAGGACTTGGTCTCCAGACCCCTCACCATCTTCGTTGCCCTCCTCTGGACACGTTCCAGCTTGTCTATATCCTTCTTAAATTGTGGTGCCCAAACTGAACACAATACTCTAGGTGATGTCTAATCAGAGCAGAATAAAGCAATACCGTCACTTTGCATGATCTGGACACTATACTTCTGTTGATACAGCCCAAAATGGCATTTGCCTTTTTAGCTATCGCATCACACTGCTGACTCATGTTCAGTGTACAGTTGACTAAGACCCCTAGATCCTTTCCGCACATACTTCAGCCAAGACAAGTCTCCCCCATCCTATAATTATGCATTTGATCTTTCCTACCTAAATGCAGAACTTTACATTCATCCCTGTTGAAATTCATTTTTATTTGTTTTGGCCCAGTTTTCCAGCTGGTCAAGATCATCCTGTATCCTGACTTTGTCTTCTACTGTATTTGCTACCCCTCCCAATTTGGTATCATCTGCAAATTTAATAAGTATTCCCTCTATTCCTTCATCCAAATCATTGATAAAGATGTTGAACAAAACAGGTCCCAGGACATAAGAACATAAGAGACGCCAATGTTGGATCAGGCCAAAGGCCCATCCAGTCCGTCACACAGTGGCCAAAAATACCAGGTGCCCTCAGGAGGTCCACCAGCGGGGCCAGGACATTAGAAGCCCTCCCACTATTGACCACCACCCCCCCAAGCACCAAGAAGACAGAGCATCACTTGCCCCAGAGCCCCTATCTATACCTTGTGGCTAATAGCCACTGATGGACCTCTGCTCCATATGCTTATCTAATTCCCTTTTGAAGCCGTCCATGCTTGTAGCCGCCACCACTTCCTGTGGCAGTGAATTCCATGTGGATGAAGTAAGTGGAGTGTGTGCAAGAAAATATTTTTGAATAATATGGTCATTTTAAAAGGCATCTGTTTAAACAGAGCTTCTGTGTAAAAAGTGGAAGAGTCGCTATTACAGTAATGTATAATCTCACTATCTGATATTTTGTAGTTGGCTTCACCTTCCATAGCAGCCATTTTGTGGTTGGCTCCGCCTCCTGTAGCATCCATCTTGTGGTTGGCTGCGTCTCCTGCAGCAGACATATAATGGTGGCCTCTACCTTTTGCGGTAACCATCTTGTGATTGCGCCCACCACCCTTGTGTCAAAATTCCAAATGTTCCCACAGGCTCAGAAAGGTTTGGGACCCTTTTTCTAACGGTTACTCTACACTGGTTCTCTTCACACGTTTGTGAGAAATGGCACCTGTTCTGCCCAATGAAGTGGTGAGGGGCTTCACTGGTAGTATAGGTTCTCACAGGTAATATAGTTTCTCAAGGGAGGCTCTGATAAGATCCAAAGCCCACCCCCCTGGTGCGGTCTTGTGTTTTTCCCCAGGTGAAGAATGGGACTCTCACCATTGCCAGCGTGGAGCGGGCCAGCACTGGGGCCTACACTTGCCATGCCACCAGTGAGGAGGGCACCGTCACCCACACCACCCGCCTGCTGGTACAAGGTAAAGGGGGGGAGTATCCCTCAGGATCCGACGAATTCACAGCACACCGTCTGAAAATTCTGAAATGCCGGAGAACCATCTTCTCGGCTTGGGAGGCCTGGCTTTTGCGCCCCCCGCCCCAGTCTAAGCCTCAGTGCGCCAGGCCTTTCTCACTTCAGCCCCCTCACTCTCTGTCCTCCTTCCCAGGGCCGCCGATAATCGTGGTGCCCCCTCAGAACATCACAGTCAACCTCACACAAGATGCCTTCCTGGCCTGCCAAGCCGAGGCCTACCCTGCCAACCTCACTTACAGCTGGTTCCTGGGGAATACAAATGTTTTTCACCTCAGGTAAGAAGGAAATTGGGTGTGCATCATATTTCCATAGGACTCTGGAAACTGGAGTGTGAACGCTTTGGTGTTTGGGCAAAAACTCTGTGGTAAAAACGGCTTCCCATAGGGTTTTTTCCCCAAATACCAGAGTGTCCTCACATTGCCAGAAACGTGATGACGTCACTTCCGGTGAACACTGGAAGTGAAGTTGCCACATCACCAGTAACAGAGGCCTAGACCTCATTTTGCTGCTGGTATTTCCCCACGTCACCACCCCCACGCTTTCCGTCAGTTGCTGGGGGTACCTGGCAACCCTAGTCACCATCGCAAGTACAAAGCTGGGTAACGGGTGCGGAATCTCACACACAAGTAGAATCTTACTCTCACTCACTCTCCCATTGGGATCTTCAACCCATTGCTCTCAACTACCCAAATTATTTGCCCAAGACCTCACAAGGAAGGAAAAGGATTGATGATTAGGGGAGAAACTGTGGCTCACTGGCAGAGCATCTGCATGGCACCCAAAAGGTCCCAGGTTCAAACACCAGCACATCCAGTTAAAAAAATCAGGCTGTCAGTGATGCAAAAGGCCTCCGCCTGAGACCCTGGAGAGCCGTTGCCCATCAGAGTAGACAGTACTGACCTAGAGAGACCAAAAGTCTGTCTCGCTATAAGGCAGTTTGCATGTGACCAGTCGGAAGGTAGGAGGGGGATATAAAGGCTCAGGGAACTTCATTCCTACTTGTATCTGATGAAGGGAGTTTATAGTCTGGGTATCTTGTTGCTCTTTGAGGTGCTACTGGACTCAAATCTTGCTCCAGTTTGGTGTAGTGGTTAGGAGCGTGGACTCTAATCTGGGAGAACCGGGTTTGGTTCCCCACTCCTCCACATGCAGCTGCTGGTGTGACCTTGGGTCAGTCACAAGTTCTCTCAGGAGCAGTCCTCGAAAGAGCTCTCTCAGCCCCACCTCCCTCACAGGGTGTCTGTTGTGGGGAGGGGAAGGGAAAGGAGTTTGTAAGCCGCTCTGAGACTCCTTTGGGTAGTGAAGGGTGGGGTACAAATCCAGTCTCTTCTTCTCTTCTGCTGAAGACCAACACAGGTACTCACCGGAAACTGCTCGAATAGAAGAGATTAGAAAAGCTGCCAGTTTAGAAGAAGCATCTCCTCACCCCGCCTAGGAAGGAATGCCCCTTCTGAGGTGGTGTCTGCTGATGTGCGCGGACATTGTCTCGGAAGAGGGATTTCCCTGGCCTCTCTCTCACAGGCCTGGATTGTATAGGAGGTCTATAGATGTGAACGACAAGTACACAGATAAAGCAACCCTGCCTTCTTTTGAAAGCCGTTGCTTCATTCACATACAAATGCATGCAGATTTAATTGATCCATTAAAGCCAAATCTGCACTGACTGCATTTACGTTAATTGGGTGACAGCCCAAATAATGAATTATGCCAAATGAATCACGTCTGGATTCGGGGAAGTCCGCCCCACCCTCCCTCCCTCATCCTTTTTTCCGAATTATCTAAAAGCTGGCGTGTTGGGAGAGACACTCCCGTGCAAGGTTGCCAACCTCCATGTGGGGCCTGGAGATCTCCTGGAATTGCAGTTGATTTCCAGGTGACATGGATCGGTTCCCCTGAAAAAAATGGCCGCTTTGGAGGGCGGACTCTGTGGCATTGTACCCCACTAAGATTCCACCCCCAAATCTCCAGGGATTTTCCAACCCGGAGCTGATAACCCTAGGTTGCTGAGTTTCCCATCTCTGCCTTCTTCTCTTCCAGCCACCTGCAGTCCCGGATTCGGGTCTTGGTAGACGGGAGCCTCTTGGTTCAGAAAACAACCCCAGAAGATTCAGGACAATACACTTGCATTCCCAGCAACGGGCTAAAAAGATCACCTTCTGCCTCGGCTTTCCTTACAGTTCTGTGTAAGCCTCACTCCCTGCCCCCCACTCATCCCCCCCCCTCCAACTGAAACACAGGGCCTTCTCGGTGGAGGCACCGAAATTTTGGAACTCCCTTCCCAGAGAGATTTGTCTGTCTCCTTCTGTCAGCTTTTCCCCCCGTATCGTCTGGCATACTCCCAATAAAGTCTTACTGGACCTCCCTGGTTGTATGTGTATGTTTGTATATATATGTTTTCATTGCATTTATGCAGGGCTTTTTTTATAGAAAAAGCCCAGCAGGAACTCATTAGCATAATAGGCCACACCCAACAGCAGACACTCATTAGCATAATAGGCCACACCCAACAGCAGACACTCATTAGCATATTAGGCCACACCCTTGACAGCAAGTACATTATCATATTAAGCCACACCCCAATGTTACCAGAAGTGTGGTCATCCAGCCACACCCACCTTTTGCTTCTTATTCTGTTTACCTTGTTTGTTGTCAAAACCCGGGGCTTTTTTTGTAGCAGGAACTCCTTTGCATGTTAGGCCACACACCCCTACTGTAGCCAATCCTAATGAGCTTCTTCTGTTTGGTGTGGCCTATTATGCTAATGAGTTCCTGCTGGGCGTGGCCAACTCAGGAGCCAGCCGGAACTCCGTTCCTGTGCGTTCCTGCCCAAAAATAGCCCTGCATTTATACATACATTTTAAATGCTCTTTTAACATGTTAAATGTTTTAATGCCTTGGTATCCACTGCCTTGGGGACCCTATCAAGAGCCAGTGTGGCGTAGTCTTTAAGAATGTCGGACTAGTATCCGGGAGACCCAGGTTCGAATCCCCACTTGTGCCACAGAAGCTCACCGGGCGACCTTGGGCCAGTCACACTCTCCCAGCCTAACCTACCTCACAGGGTTGTTGTGAGGATAACACGGAGAAGAGGAGAACGATGTAAGCTGCTTCGGGTCCCCAGTGGGGAGAAAAGCGGGGCATGAATGAATTAAATAAATGAAAACCGGGTGGAAAGGCAGCATATAAATCTTTTAAATCATATAATGACAAATAACTGGCAGAAGCCTCCTAGGCGGGGAGGAAAATAGACCTGGGAAGCCAGCGTCACTCGGATCAGCCTTTATCGAAAGAATCCTCTTCCAGCTGTCTCTTCACGTTGCCATTTCCACATTGCCCGGGTGGCCACCAGTGTTCCCTCTACGCTGAGTCAGTGTGAGCCAGCTCACAGTTTTTTAGCCTCCGGCTCACACAATTTTGCCTCGGCTCAGGAAGGATGGGCTCCAGAGCAAACTAATTTATGTAGCAGCCAAATCGCTCGCTCACAGCTTCAATGCCAGTAGCTCACAAAGCAGAATCGTTGCTCACAAGACTCAGCAGCTTAGAGGGAGCACCGGCGGCAACACAAGGCTGAGCTTCCTATCCTGGCCAGGGAACTCGGGGCTCTGAAGAAGATGCAGCCCCCCGGCCTTTATCGCTCCCTCCGGTTTCTCTCTCAACCCACTACCTTGGCAGCTGAAACTGCGTCCTCTTTCCTCCCGCAGATCCGGCCCGGGTCAGCAACATGCCCCCGGAGACCCTCCTGCCGATCGGGATGCAGGGCACCATCCGCTGCCCCCACAAGGCCAACCCCCCTCTGCTCTTTGTCAACTGGACCAAAGACGGGCAGCCCCTGGACCTGGGCAAGGTAGTGGCCGGACTGGTCGTCCCACCCTCCCCGCTGGCGCTCGCCCTTCTTGGATCTCCTTGTCCTGAGCGGGGTATCCTTTCTCTTTGTCTCTCTCTCTCTCTCCCCACTGTAGTTCCCAGGCTGGTCCGCAAGGCCCGATGGCGCCATCGTCATCGCCACAGCAAATGACGACGCCCTCGGCGTGTACACCTGCGCCCCGTACAACAGCTACGGCACCGCTGGTCCCTCCTCGCCCACCCGCGTCCTCCTCAAGGTCAGTCCCGGAGAGAGCCAGGTAGGGGGACAGGGTGGAGTAGGGTGGCATCCTGCAACTCTCTGAGCTAAGAATTGGAATTGTGCTATGATGGGGTGGAGCAATATCAGGTTTCCTTTGATCCACACCTTTTCTTTAAAGAACAGGCTTGTTCTCCCAGGCTTTTAGGTGAGGGTAGCGGTGGTTAAGGACGGGCACCCTCTTTCTGTTTTTTCTCCTATGACCCCCACCTGCCCTTCCCTGCCCGGCTGCACAGACAGCACCGTAGCCGGCAAAAGGGGTCTCTATCGCCATCTGGACTGCTAATCAATTGGATTATTATGATAATTTTATGCTGATTGTATCTGAGCAGTTTTAAGATTGTAAATCGCCCAGAGCCTGCTTGCAGGGTGGGCCACTCGTAAATGTAATAAAGTAAAAGAAAATAGTGTCATAGATGCAACGAACATGAAATTGAGCAAACTTCAGAGGATGGCGGAAGACACGAGGGCCTGGCGAGATCTTGTCCATGGGGTCGCGAAGAGTCGGACTCGACTGTGCGACTGAACAACAAACAACAAAAGAAAATAAATACATTGGCCCTTGAGCTCCCCATCATTTTTTGAACCCTCCACCGACAATTATTGCTGTTGCCTCCTTTTCTTTTTTACTAAGCCCATGGAGGCAGGCTACCTAATAATGGGGGTGGACCTTTGAACACACACACACACAATTGAAGCTGCCATATACTGAGTCTGTCAAGGTCGGTATTGCCTACTTGCCCGGCAGGGGCTCCCCAGGTTCTTGGGTCAAGGTTTTCCACCTCACCCGCCATGTGCCCTTGCAGGGCTTTTTTTTTTTTTTTTTAGAGGTGCCGGAACTCTTAAGAGGGAAATGAAGTTTTCAGTCCGTATACTGAAGACTCATGAATTTTTAAAAGAACCCTGTTGAATAGGTTCCGGAATTCCATTCCGCCACATTCCTCCAGAAAAAAAAGGCCCTGCAAGTGGAGATGCTGGGGACTGAACCTGCGACCTTCTGCGTGCCAAACAAAGACTCTACCACTGAGCCGTGGCCGCTGCACTCAGTTAGGAGTGGGATTAACTGCTTCTCTCTGTGTCCATTGTGGATGCTGATAAGCCCCCACCTGGGGCACAAATTGTGTTTCCAACCCAGGATCCTCCCGTGTTCACCCAGCGCCCTAAAGAGGAGTATTTCCAGGAGGTGGGCCGTGAGTTGCTCATACCTTGTGCTGCCAGTGGCGACCCCCAGCCCGTCATCTCTTGGACTAAGGTGAGGCGTCCTGGGAAGGTTCCCTGCTCTGAACAGAGGCCTCACCGTAGATGGAACAGACATGTGGGATCCAACCCATTAAAACTTACGCCTGTGTTTGAGGTGGGCCCTGATCAGAGGTCTGACTCCCTTGGAGCCAGTCACTGATGGAAGATATCGCCAGCTAGTGGCTAGAAGGTCAGACTAGGATCTGGGGGACCCGGGTTCAGATCCTGACTTTGCCATGGAAGCTCACTGATGACCTCTGGCCCACCACACACTCTCGGAGAGCCAGTTTGGTGTGGTGGTTAGGAGCGCGGACTCTAATCTGGGAGAACTGGGTTTGGTTCCCTACTCCTCCACGTGCAGCTGCTGGTGTGACCTTGGGTCAGTCACGAGTTCTCTCAGAGCTGTTCTGGAAGGAGTTGTCTCAGCCCCACCTGCCTCCCAGGGTGTCTGTTGTGGGGAGGGGAAGGGAAAGGAGATTGTAAGCCGCTCTGAGACTCCTTCGGGTAGTGAAGGGTGGGGGATACATCTAATCTCTTCTTCTTCAGCCTAATTTACTTCACAGCTAGTTTCAGGTGGTTAGCCGTGTTAGTCTGCCGTAGAAGAGCAAGATTTGAATCCAGTAGCACCTTAGAGACCAACAAGGTTTCCAGAGTGACGGCTTTCGAGAGTTCAAGCATATACCCTGAAAATCCCGTTGGATTTAAAGGCACTGCTGGACACAAACCTTGCTCTTTGACCTCACAGGGTTGGTGTTAGGAGGAAGGCAGAATGATGTTGGAAGCCACGTTGGGGTTCCCCCTGAGGAGCAAAGTGGAGTAGAAATAACTCTACAAACCTCCATGTTCAGAGGCAGTATACCTCTGTTGCTGGGGTCAATTAATGAGGATAAGCTTCTTGCCGTCCTGCTCTCTTTGGGTGGTTTTTCAGAAGCATCACATTTGCCTGTGTAGGAAATAGGGTGTCGGATTAGATCCGGGTTCTTAGAAAGTGGGCAGGGTCAGGTGGAGGGCGGGGCTTCTGGCATTAGAGATTTGATTGGCTGTGCAGATTTTTTTTTTTTTAAACGCTGCTTTGGCGGCAGCTGCTACCACAGGCCAAGGGATCTTCACTGTGTGACTGAAGGTAAGCTGTGGCAGCCATTTTGTAGCAGGCCTCACCTCCTGTGGCAGCAGTTTTGCCAGCGGAGGAGGAGCCAGCTACAAAATGGCTGCCACAGCTTACCTTCAGTCACACAGCGAAGATCCTTGTGCTGTGGTAGTAGCTGCTGCCAAGGTGTTGTTTTTTTAATGTGCATTTTGTGTCTGTGCCCACCATACTCTGTCAGAATTCCAAAAGTGCCCATGGGCTCAAAATGGTTGGGGACCCCTGGATTAGGCGGACATGGGTCTGACCCAGCAGTGTTTTGTTCTTTCTACCACGTGTGCCACTGCTGTGTTCTCTCCCCCTCCAGATGGGCAGCAGAGGGCTCGCCAACGCCCAGGTGGATCGGAACCACACCCTGATCCTGCGCCCGCTGACCAAGGAGCAGCACGGCATGTGGGAATGTGCCGCCAATAATGGCGTGGCCCGTGTCAGTGCCGCAACCGCCATCTACGTATTGGGTGCGTGCTTAGTTCTGAGTGCGGTGTAGTTAACTGAACAGTGCCGGAAGCGCGTTGAAATGCCTTTGGAATAGAAAGGCCCATGAGGCCCATGAACTGGACTGGGCGTTACAGTTCAGGGAACTGCTTTTTATACATATCTTGCTACTTAGCCAGGCTCATCTGCCCTCGGCTTTGTGCTTTTCCAGTTTATGTCACAGTGTCTTTTGTGTCACTTCCGACTTAGGGCGGCCCTATGAATGAATGACTTCCAAAACATCCTATCATTGACAGCCTTGCTTGGGTCTTGCCAACGCAGGGCCATGGCTTCCTCGATGGGGTCCATCCATCTCCTGTTGGGTCTTCCTCTCTTCCTGCCGGCTTCCACTTTTCCTAGCATTATTGTCTTTTTCAGTGACTCTTGTCTTCTCATAATGTGACCAAAGTACAATAGCCTCAGTTTAGTCCTTTTCATATCTAGGGAGAGTTCTGGCTTGATTTGATCTCGAACCCACTGATTTGTCGTTTTGCCGGTCCACAGTGTCCGTAAAACTCTCCTCCGACACCACATTTCAAATGCATTTTCTTTCTTTTGTTTGCGCCGGCAGGCACCAGCCCCCATGGGGTGGTCAACGTCTCTGTGCTTCCGCTCCAGCAGGCCGTCAACGTCACCTGGGAGCCTGGCTTCGATGGGGGCTACTTCCAGAGGTTCAGCATCTGGTACACGCCGCTGTAAGTCCTCCGTGGTTTTGCCCACATGATTTTTCGCTCCTTGTGCCAGTTTGGTGTAGTGGTTAAGAGTGGTGGACTCTGATCTGGAGAACCGGGTTTGATTCCCCACTCCTCCACATGCAGCCAGTTGGGTGACTTTGGGCAAGCAACAGTTCTCTCAGAGCTGTTCTCTCAAGGGCAGTTCTCGAAAGAGCTCTCTCAGCCCCACCTGCCTCATAGGGTGTCTGTGTTGTTGTTTTTTGTATGTTTTTAATCCCCCTAAGGGGGATTTTTTATTGTTTTTTTCACAAAACTACAAACTATAACTGAAAATATAGAAAGGGAAACTACCTCTAAGGAGAAAGAAAAGAAACCCACTGATAACTAAAACCCCAAGAGTGGGAGATCAATACATCAGCTTATCTCAATGTTAATCTGAAATGCTAGTGATACATTGAACATAGTCGGTTATGCTAAGTTATTTATCTTTTAACCATCCATTTATCTGTTAAATGAAACCCTCAGAGCATCCCAAAGTTATTTCTAAATTTTCAGGCACAATTCAGAGTCCTTCAGCCTTTATTTTCTCATATATTTTTCTTATCCTCAATTTATACGGATTTTTGGGTGCTGCCGCCCCCTTTTCAGAGAGAGAGTCCTCGTCAGAAGACACCGAGCCTAACTCGCCATCCAACTTGCTTTCTTCTTCTTCCTTCTTGTCCTCTGCTGGTTCCCCCAGCTGTGTTCTCAGAAACTCACATGCTTTAGGAACAGAGTCAATCTTTTCTTTTTTATCGTGGAGTTTGAAAATGATGGCTTCTGGAATTAACCATCTGTAACTGATGCCATTTGTTTGTAAAAAAAGGATTAAGTCTTTATATTTCTTTCTCTTCTGTCTTATTTCAAAAGGAATGTCTTTTAAAATCCTGATATTATTGTCCCCGATTTTCAAGGGTGTTCCCATAGTTGCTTTCAAAATAGAATCTCTCACATGTCTCTTCGAGAATCTGACTACTATTTCCCCAGGCAGATTATTTTTCTTGATGTATAAGGAATAGGACCTGTAGACCACATCCATCTCGCTGTAAAGATATTCCGCTGTCAAATCTGTCATTGGGGCTATTGCATCACTCAACAGTTGCTTCAGATTCTCTCCTTTAGATTCTGGGACCCCCTTGGAACCGTAGGACCAAATTTGCTTTCTCCATTTGCAGCTGTAAAAGTTGTGACTCTTCTGTAGCTTGTTTCATTTACAGCTTTTGCACCTTTTTCTTGACTTTTTTAGTATTGACGTCCATTTCCTTCATCTTCTCTGCCATTTGCTCCGTTGCATTTAAAGATTTAGTCAGTTGTAGCTGCTGTGAAGCCAAACTCTGACCAATTGTTGACAATTGTTGCTTGATATTAGTTATCTCATCCAGCAGAAGGCATAAGGAATCTGCCAACATTTTAGAAAGCTCAGTGGTCTCTTCCGTTCGAGGACTACAGAACTAGTTTTGCTTTCAACAGTTTGTCTTTATCTGGTTTCTTCCCCACCATCTTTTTGGATTATTTACTTTTCTGAAAGTTGCTAAAGTCTCTGGGTCCGGGGGGGTAGCCCCCTGGCTAGGAGCCTTTCACCAAGGGTCCGGGGGTCGTAACCCGTCACACCCCCTCCTACACGCTGGTGTGCAGAATGCGTGTCGCCATAAACCGGAAGTCACCTCATAGGGTGTCTGTTGTGGGTAGGGGAAGGGAAAGGAGATTGTAAGCTGCTCTGGGACTCCGAGTGAAGGGTGGGGTATAAATCCAATCTCCTCCTCCTCCCCCCACTCCTCCCCCCTCCTCCTCTTCTTCTCCTTGTCCTTCTCCCCTCCCTGGCAGTTTTACAGGAAATCCTGAACATCTCCCCACCTTCTGTTCGAAACAGCATGAACTTTTTTCAGTCCACTGTGGGCAGTAACTGCAGCTTCCCCATCTCTGTGTCCTCCCGCAGGTTGAAACGCCTCAACCGCCCTCACCACGACTGGGTCTCGCTGCCAGTACCTGCAGGAGCCTCCCATCACCTGGTGGAGAACCTCCAAGGCGACACTGGCTACCAGTTCAGTGTTCTGGCCCAGAACAAGCTGGGCAGCGGTCCCTTCAGTGAGATCATCGCCGCAGTGCCGCTAGGTGAGAGGTGCTCCCATACCCTGCCGTGCAGAGTTGGTGCTCTAAAACAAACACACGCCCAAATCCCAAAACAAAGACCTCGATTTTCCCTCCATAGGGTTCCCAGCTCCTGAATTAAAGTTCAAATCGTTGATTTTCTCAAATGCTGACTTGGAAATGTAGAGTTTAAATATTTCAGACTAAAGTGGAATGTCCCCCTAAATGTAGGCTTGCCAACCTCCAGGTAATCGCCTGGAGATACCATTAATCTCCAGACAATAGAGATCAGCTCCCCTAGAGAAAATGGCTGTTTTTGAAGGTGGGTCGATGGCGTTATACCCCTCTGAGGTCCCTCCCCTCCTCAGGCTCCACCTCCAGCTATCCAGGAATTATCAACCGGGAGCTAGTAACTCTACCTAAATGTCAGTGATGCCTAGGTTTGAGAAGCCAGTGAACTCTACCTAAATGTCAGTGATGCCTAGGTTTGAGACCCAGTCTGGTGTACTGGTTAGGAACGTGGACTCTAATCTGGGAGAACTGGGTTTGATTCCCCACTCCTCCACATGCAGCTGCTGGTGTGACCTTGGGTCAGTTGCAGGAGTTGGGGGGTGCTCAGGTAGGGGGCGCTTCGGTAGGGCTTGTTTAGAGGTGAGACAGAAGTAGGGTCGCCAGCTCCAGGTTGAGAAATACCTGGAGGTTTGGAGGGGTGGAGCCTGAGGAGGGCGGGGTTTGGGGAGGGGAGGCGCTTCAAGGGGGGATAATGCCACAGAGTCCACTATTCCAAAGTGACCATTTTCTCCGGCGCGGTAGCGTGGTTCAGAGTGGCGGACTCTAATCTGGAGATTGGGCTCTAATTTGGAGAACCAGATTTGATTCTCCACTCCTCCACATGAAGCCAGCTGGGTGACCTTGGGCCAGTCACAGTTCTCTCAGAGCTCTCTCAGCCCCACCTACCTCACAGGGTGTCTGTTGTGGGGAGAGGAAGGGAAGGAGATTGTAAGCCGCTCTGAGGCTCTTTCAGGTAGTAGGAAAGCGGGCTATAAAAACCAATTCTTCTTCTGCTGCTGCTTCTGCTTCTTCTCTCAATTGTAATCCCAAGAGATCTCCAGCCACCACCTGGAGGTTGACAACCCTTTAGGCTTGCCAGTCCCCAGGCCTGGGCGGGGGATCCCCCCGGTTTCAGGGGCTTCTCCCCACCGTGGAACAGCTGGCCAGTGGGGGAAACCCCGCCCCTAAACATCAAGTTGGGGATGTCGTGTGGGGACGCTCTGGTATTTAGGCCAACTCTATGGTTTCAGGGAGAAAAAAAACATAAGAGTTTCAACCAAATACTTTTTTTTATTTTATTTTTAATGTATTTATTTACTTGGGATTTATATCCCGCCCTGAAATAACATTAAAACATTGAATACATACAATATACCATATACAACATACAATATAAATACCTTTAAAACATTAACTACATACGAACTAAAATGGTGCTTTACAGATCACTAAATTCCCCAAGATGCACAGTGTCCCTCATTGGCGGCCGGTGTTGTAGTAGCGTGAGCACCAGGAGTGCTGTTCCTCATCAGGGCGGCATCTACCCCCCTCCCAGATCAGGTAGATGGTAGGGTCGAATCACGATGGTGGTATAGTGACGGCGGCGGCTCCTACTCAAAAGCCTGGTGGAAGAGCTCCGTATTGCAGGCCCTGTGGAACTGTACAAGGTCCCACAGGGCCCGGATCTCCACCGGGAGCTCATTCCACCAGGTAGGAGCCGCCACCGAAAACACCCTGGCCTTGGATCGCAGCGCTCTTGGGGGAACATACGGGAAGAGGCGGTCCCTAAGGTAGACTGGACCCTGGCCATTCAGGGCTTTAAAGGTAAGAACCAGCACTTTGAAACGAATCCGGTATGCTATATAATACCAGAGCGTCCCTCCATAATGTCCCTGATGCGATGATGCCACTTGACATCCCCGCCCACCCCTGGAATGCCCCACAAATCCCCCCCCCACTGCAGCGACAAGGGGACCTGGCAACCCTACAACGCTATGCAGTGCTTAAAATTTGGGGGACTTTTAAAAAATGCAATTTCTAGTCCAAGTGCCAAAAGAGTGTGTGTGTGTGTGTAAGGGAATGCAAGTAGGGGGCTTTAGTGTAACCCTTTGTTGCCCTGAAATGATGCAAACCCCACCCCCCCATGAAATTGTTAAGGAAGAGGCGTGCCCACCATGTGACCTCATTCTCCATAGTGCCATCCTCTTAGGGATTCACAGTTGTCTGTCTGCTTTCTCCTCCCCCCGCTACAACACAGGACGCCTTCTACGAGTTCCGCTTAGTGGCCTTCTCCGGCAGCTCCACGAGTGATCCTAGCAACACAGTCAACGTCTCCACAGCCGGTAAGACTCTCTGGGTGAGGGTGAGGGCGTGTGAGGGCAGAGTTCCAGAAGCCCCGGGACTGGCTGGCGTGCGTGTGTCCTCTGAGGCTTTTGCAAGCTTCTTGGCTGAAGGCGTTTGTTGCGTAAACAGCACCTGCAGTGTGCAGAGTGGGACCTTTGTTGGCCTGTCAAGATAAGCAGGTGTTTAGTGGCGCCTTCTGTATGCCAAGTGCCACCAGGTCACAGCTGACTTATAGGGACCCCGGTGGGGTTTTCGAGGCAAGAGACGTCCAGAGGCGGTTTGCCCATTGTCTGCGTCTGCATCGCGACCCTGGACTTCCTTGGTGGTCTCCCATCCAAATACTAACCAGGGCTGACCCTGCTTAGCTTCAGAGAACTGACGAGATCAGGTGAAGAGAAGAAGAAGAGGAGATTGGATTTATACCCCGCCCTTCACTACCCAAAGGTGTTTCAGAGCGGCTCACAATCTCCTTTCCCTTCCCCTCCCCACAACAGACACCCTGTGAGGTAGGTGAGGCTGAGAGAGCTCTTGACAGAAACTGCTCTTTTTCAAGGACAGCTCATTATCAGAACTATGGCTTGCCCAAGGTCATCCAGCCAGGTGCAAGTGGAGGAGTGGGGAATCAAACCCGGTTGTCCCAGATTAGAGTCCGCGCACTTAAACACTACACCAAACTGAGCCTGGGTCCATCCAGATTGGGGTAGCGGCACCTTAACCAACGTTTATTCCAACATTACTTGTTTTGAGAGCCAATGTGGTGTAGTAGCTAGAGGGTCTGACTAGGATGTGGTAGACGCAGGTTCAAGTCCTTGCTCTGCCATGGGAGCTCGCCGGGTGACCTTGGGCCAGTCACAACACTCTCAGCCTAACCTACTTCACAGGGTTTTTGTGAGGATGGAAAAGAACAATTTAACCTATTTTGGGTCCTGCCCCGTAGCCAGAAAATCTTCTTTGGGGGGGGGCAAAGGCCAGGAGCAGGGCACTTAATTAGGTTAACACTAATTAGATTGTGGCGAAATGTGGGGTATAAATAAAGTAAAAATAAAACAAATATATAAAATAAAAGATACACCTTCATGGACTACAGCTCCTTTGTCACATGCACGTCGTCGTACCAGACCCACTACATGCATCTAACAAAGCAGGCTGTTCATATTGAGTCTTTAAGGATTTCAACCAGCCTGGCTGGCTCTTTTTTGAGTACACAACAAACAAGCAAGGTAGGCCTCTGCCCCAGGCAGCTTACAGTTTCATGCAGTGTGCCCGCTCCATGCATTTCCTCTTGGATCTCCATCTCCCACCACCACCACCCCTGCGCCCTAGTCTGGCATTCTACCCAGGCAAGGTGTGGCTTGATTTGCTGCATCCCAGATGCCAGAGGGGAGCCCTGACAACAGAGAGAGGGCCGTTGTCTTTACGTCCTGCCTGTGGGCTTCCCAGAAGCACCTGGCCAGCCACTTGCGGGACACAGGACTGGATGGGACCATCGCTGTGATCAAGAACACAGCTCTCAGTCTTCGATTTCTTGTCTCAAAACCAATTCATCTCTCCAGACTGGTCTCAATTACAAAAATGGATGTGAGGCTTTAGAGCCTTGAGTGGTGTCTTCCTTGAAGAAAACGTGCTCCTGCCACATAACACTCTGTTATATTACGTGAAGCCTCTATTACTACAAATACCTTCAGTCTATTCCTCATACCTTTCATTCTCTCCGTACACCATATGCTGGTTTGAAAACCGGCTTATTTCTTACCTGTTTAAAGATGTAAACCTCATAGTTTTGTGTTCATATCTCAGTAAATTCCTATCCTCCGGTCTAACGCCAGATTAAGGTTTTTCCTTTAAGACAGTTCTTTTTACTAGAATAGTATTCCTATTAGTCTTTAAGATTGTATTGTCCTTAGGATACATGTTTCCTTGTTGGTTTTACGAAATTGATACCTATTTTTAACACAATAGGCATTGATTATCTTGTACTTTTTACGACAGGTTGTATTTGTACATCTTGTTGTTTACAAATCTATTCAAACTTACATGTTGCTGCTATTTATGATATTCCTTGCTGTTAAAGGCTTTCCCCTGCCCTGTTCTTGGGGACTGACGGGAATCTTCTCCTCTCCCCACCAGGCATGGAGGTGTACCCCTCCCGCACCCAGCTGCACGACCTCCTCCCCCAGCCTGTCCTGGCCGGCGTCATCGGCGGCGTCTGCTTCCTCAGCACAGCTGTCATCTTCAGCACCATGGCGGCGTGCATCATGAACCGCCGGCGGGCAGCCCGTCTCCGTAAACGCAGGCAGGGTAAGGTGGGGCAGAGGGAGCCGGGGCAGGAGGAAGGTGTCCAGATGGGGAGTGGGAGGGGCCGTGAGTCAGCCCCTGCCGATTGCTGATTGGCTGGGTTGGGTGGCCAGACAAAGAGCTTTGGCTTCCTGGGGTAAGAGGAATCCTGGGTGCGGGGGAAGGGGGAGAGCCCTCCCGGAATCTCAGAATGACCGTTCCCAGTTCCGTCCTGCAGAGAGCAGGAACTCGGGGCAACCTCGGCTCATTTCAGGCTGCAGAAATCAACCGTTCCGGTTCCTTGGCTCCGTTTCCTTCACAGGAGCCTTGAGCTGAGCACCAAGGCCTTTGGGTATTCTGGTGCCATCGCAGTAATATGGTGCCTGGTGCAGAATTCGGTCCTCTGGAACCCCGCGTTTCGCGAACGAACATTCGTTCGTCAGAATAAGAAAATGTATGCCAATGCGGGTAATCTTCATCAGGGGAAAGGATCTGGCTTTTGGGGATTGGAAATGGTTTGGCACAGTCTGACCTGATTCTAGTGCATTCTCTTTAAAAAAAACACACATCTGTGTCTTGCAGCTATAAGAGGAGCCAGCAGAAAGTGACAGTCGTAACAGGCTGGGAGAGAATCCAGCAAATAATCAGTCCAGGACTACAGATGCCCCCGGCTCTCGGCACAGGGCAGGCTGCTGCTTCCAGGTTCTCTTTCCGCAGCCAAAAAAAAAAAAAAATCCACAAAAGGAGAAACACACCTATTCTGTCTTGCTGCTCTGTCTCCATTTAAGGTTTATACGCCTAGAAGGTGTTCCCTGCTGAGCCTTGCCCGTGGCTCAGCGGTACAGCATCTGCCTGGCATGCAGAAGGTCCCAGGTTCAATCCCTGGCATCTCCAGTTTAAAGGCGCAAGTAGGAGGTCATGTGAAAGACCTCAGCCTGAGACCCTGGAGAGCAGAAGCCAGTCAGAGTAGATAGTACTGATCCTGATAGACCAAAGGTCTGATTCAGTATAAGGCAGCTTCATGTTAGGATCATAAGAACATAAGAGATGCCAATGTTGGATCAGGCCAAAGGCCCATCCAGTCCAACACTCTGTATCACACAGTGGCCAGAAATACCAGTGCCATCAGGAGGTCTACCAGTGGGGCCATACACCAGTGGGGATCATACAGTTATAGAATCACAGAGCTGGAAGGGGCCATACAGGCCACCTAGTCCAACCCCCCGCTCAATGCAGGATCAGCCTAGAGCATCCCTAACAAGTGTTCATCCAGGCGCAGCTTGAAGACTGCCAGGGAGGGGGAGCTCACCACCTCCCTACGCAGCCGATTCTACTGCTGATCTACACTTACTGTAAAAAAAAAAAAATTCCCCCTAATATCCAGCTAGTACCTTCCCATCCTTAATTGAAACCTACTATTGCTAGTCCTCTCCTCCGCTGCCAACAGGAACAGCTCCCTGCCCTCCTCTGCCCTTCAAATGCTTAAAGAGAGCTGTCATGTCCCCCCTCAACCTCCTCTTCTCCAGACTGAGCATTCCCGAGTCCCTCAGCCTTTCCTCACAGGGCTTGGCCTCCAGGCCCCCCATCATCCTCGTCGCTCTCCTCTGCACCCATTCCATTCTGTCCACATCCTTTTTGAAATGAGGCCTCCAGAAAGGCACACAACACTCCAGGTGCGGCCTGAACAACGCAGTGTACAGCGGGATTATGACATCTTGTGATTTGGATGTTATGCCTCGATTGATACACCCCATGATCGCATTAGCCATTTTTGTCGCTGCATCACACTGGCTGCTCATATTTAACTTATGGTCCACCCGCACCCCAAGATCTTGTTCACATACACTGCTACCCAGAAGTGTATCCCCCATCCAGTATGTGTGCTCCTTCCAGATATAGAACTCAGCACTTACCCTTGTTAAATTGCATCTTGTTCACATCTGCCCACTGTTCCAGTGTGTTCAGATCTCGTTGGATTCTGTCGCTACCTGCTGGTGTGTTCGCTGCTCCTCCCAATTTGATGTCATCTGCCGATTTAAGCCCCTCCACACCCTCATTCAGATCATTTATAAAAATGTTGAAAAGTACCAGGCCCAGAACCAAGCCCATGTTAGTTCACGTGCGGTCATTCTCTCCTTAGTTAAGTGGTTGGAAATCAAAGATCTGCACCGGAGGAACTCTGCTTCAGAACAAAAAGAAAACCTGGGTTCTCTAATCTGTATCTCCTATGCAAGCTCACCTTCATGGGCTGGTTGTGTCTGGAATTCAGGCTCTCTCGATTCTGGAGAGAAGAAGGCCAAGACTGACCCGTGACAAGGGAATTGTGTGCTGTGACCATCGGAAACCCTGTGCCTATCACAAAGCTGAGATGTTGCCAGTCACGGCCCCACCTCAGTAGCCATTCAAAGCTCACTGTAATTTGATTTAAATAAAAGCTGGGGTTCTCAAGATGGCTGAATTCTGCACCCGGTATCAACGGGGCTCAGTTCCACAGATGCAATCGCACAATACGCTTTGTCAGATCCCTGCAGTTCACGTAGTCCGGGGGGTCTCCAACATGTTGCCCGTGGGCACCACTGGTGGCCGCCGACACCTTTTCTGGCACCCACCAAGAATTGTTAGGAAGTGGGTGGGGCCAGATGTGGCTTTTGCCCAGCAAGGCTTCTGATTGGCTGCCCTAGATTTGATGGGCAGCAGTGTTCCCTCTAAGCTGAGTTAGTGTGAGCTAGCTCACAATTTTTTAGCCTCCAGCTCACACTTTTGCCTTGGCTCAGGAAGGAGGGCTCCAGAGCTAACTGATTTATGCAGTAGCCAAATCACTGGCTCACAACTTTAAAGCCAGTAACTCACAAAGCAGAATTTTTGCTCACAAGACTTCACAGCTTAGAGGGAACATTGATGGGCAGTGCAGATTTTTTTTAACAATGTTGCTTTGGCAGCAGCTGCCCCCGCAGCACGAGGACCTTCACCGTGTGACTCAAATCAAACTGCAGCAGCCATTTTGTGGTTGGCTGGCTGCCCCTCCAGAGGCAGCCGTTTTGCGGCATCCCTCTTGTGGCTGTGCCCACCACGCTGCGTACGAATTCCAAAGGTGCCCACAGGGTGAAAAGAGTTGGGGACCCTCTTGACATAGCCAGGTAGCTCAAGAGTGCCGGCTAAGGAGAGGAACGAATGACATCCTTCAAGCCAATGAACGAACAGAAATCCAGCTTTGCCAGTTTGCTCAGCTATTGGGGGGGGGGGTCATCTTTGGAGCCCAAGATGAAATAGGGGAACAGGGCAAGGGTGGGGCGGGCTGCACAGGGTGGCACTGTGTGTGCGTGTCTGTCTGTCTCTGTGGGCTGTGGCACGGCAGCCGTCCGTCCTCCTCCGTTGTCCTTTTTTTTTGAGTTGCTCTCCATGTGATTTCCCCCCTTTGTGTTCTCATGACCTTCCAGATGCACCAATCGTCTTCTCCCCCAACAAGAAGCTTCTGACTTCACAGTAAGTCTCGCCATGGCATGCCCATTTCCCCCCTCCCCACCCACCCCCGTTCACGCCAACCTGCTTTTTCTCCCCTCTGCCCCCTCACAGTCTTTTCAGCCTCCGGCTCACACGTTTTTGCCTTAGCTCAGGAAGGGATGGGTAATGCTCCCTCTAAGCGGTGGAGTCTTGTGAGCAAAAATTCTGCTTTGTGAGCTACCGGCATTAAAGTTGTGAGCAAGCAATTTGGCTACTGCATCAATTAAGTTTGCTCCGGAGCCATCCTCCCTGAGCGAAGACAAAGATGTGTGAGCCGGAGGCTAAAGAACTGTGAGCTAGCTCACACTAACTCCGCTTAGAGGGAACACTGCAAGCTAATTTAGGCAGCCGCCAAATCTCTCGCTCACCGCTTTAATGCCAGCAGCTCACAAAGTAGAATTTTTGCTTACAAGACTCCACAGCTTAGAGCACATAATGTATATTTTAGGTGCGCTATGGGGCAAGGCTAATGTGAAGTCAGTTGCTACCACGGACGGGGCTGCTATGAACCGGAGGGGTGCAGGAGTTTTATGTATTTATTTGTATTTATTTAGATATTTATTCCCCGCTGTTCTCCCCAGTGGGGGACGCAAAGCGGTTAACAAGTCCCCTTCTTCCTTTCATTCTCACAGCAGCCCTGTGAGGCCTGTTAGGCTGGGAGTGTGCAGTTGGTGCCAGGTCACCCAGCAAGCTTCCCATGGCAGAGCAGAGATTCAAACCCAGGTCTCTCAGATCCCAGTCTGGCACTCTAATCACTACATCACGCTGGCGGGGTTAGAGTGTAAGACTAGGAGGGGAGGGGAGGCCTGGGTTTGAATCATCACTCTGCTGTGGAGCTCGCTTACGAGGGCGAAAGTAAACCGGTATGGGCTGGAATGGAGTACCAACAAGAAAGTGGCCAAAATGGTACATCCCATTTTTTTTCTTCAAGCCCAAATGTTCCCTCTAAGCTGAGTTGGTGTGAGCTAGCTCACAATTTTTTAGCCTCCGGCTCACACATTGTTTGTCTCAGCTCAGGAAGGATGGCTCCAGAGCAAACTAATTGATGCAGTAGCCAAATCGCTCGCTCACAACTTTAATGCCAGTCACTCACAAAGTAGAATTTTTGCTCACAAGACTCCACAGCTTAGAGGGACCATTGGGTGACAGTACTGGTAAATAAATTAAGCAACTTTCCCCCTTCCTTACATAGGCCAGTCACGATCTCTCAGCCTGACCAGGAATCTTAGAGAGTTGTGCGGATAAAAGTTGGGAGCGGTGAGGCAATATGCACCGTCTCGTACTCCTTAATGGAAAGGCGGGATAAAAAGCTAACAAATACATGAAATTCTGCACCCAGAAAAGGTTAATTCTGTGACCTGGGCGGGGCTTTCCATGACAAGCTGGCGTCAGCCGGAAGTGACGTCAGTGTGTCAGTGACGTCAGGGGGTGACGCTCTGCTTTTTGGGCAGAACTCTATGGTAAAAGCAACCTCAAACCATAGAGTTTTGCCCAAAAAGCAGTGTCATCACCTCCAACGTCACCAACACACTGACGTTGCTGCTTCTGGGTGATGTCAGCATGTTGTGCAGGATGACACTGTTTGGGGGTGGGGGGAGTTTCCTCCCGCCGGCCAGCTGGGGAATGGCAAACCTTGCACAGTCTAGCTTGCCTAACTAGTTCCCTTCGGAGCTGGTGGTCTTACTTTTGGCTTGAAGTGACTGCAGAGGGCAAGGCAGTCTCCCGAAAAATTTTCAGCTTTTTTTTCTTTTTCTTTCTCCCCCGGCAGAAATTCTACAGGCACTGCTAGCCCAGACAGCGTTGTGAAACTGAAGTTCCAGACCTCCCCGTATCAGAGCCTCCGCCGCACCCTGCTGTGGGGGGAGAAGGCCGGCACCAGCCTAGGGCTCAGCATCGCCGGCGCCACCGCCAGGCCCGCTTCCAGATACACCCTGTACGAGAGCCACGTCGGGGAGCCGCTGCCGCTGGAGCGCATCTGCCGCGGCCCTGACGGACGCTTTGTGGTGCAGAGCGAGGCGCGGCCCCGAGAGCGCTTGGGGGCCGTGATGGAGCGCTACTCCCTGTCCCTCGCCTCCTCAGAGAGCAGCGTCAGCCAGCCGGAGCCTTACCTGCAGGTCTACTCTTCCCCGGGGCCCGAGGAACCCGTCTGGCAGAAGAGTGTCAACCTGCGGCCTAAGAACTCAAGCCAGGCCTGGCGCGACGCCAAGGCCTCTGGCTACCGCCAGGGCCGCTACTTCGACTACAGCAGCAGCAGCCCGACGGAGGAAGCCAAGCCCTTGTGCATCGCCAACATCAGCCCGGTGGCGGCCGTGCCGTACAGGGCCGCCGAGCAGCAGATGCCGGCTGACTGGGGCTTTGAAGGGCAGCCGGATACCCCCGCCGCCGCTGCCGCTTCTTCTCCCCTCTCGCTGGGAAGCCCTTCCTGTAGGCCTCAGGGCAGCCGAGGGAAAGCAAATACCTCAGCTCAAAGCGGAATCCTGCAGTACTTGAGTCTCCCCTTTTTCAAGGAGATGAACGTGGACGGGGACTGGCCCCCAGAGGAGGGCGAGGAGGGGGACGGGACGCAGCTTTCCACACTGGCCCTCCTCCCCGAGGCTCCCGGCAGCACAGAACTCACACTGCTGGGAGACGAGGACAAAACAGCCTGTCCGGCTTATATGGACGTGCAAGCCATACTGGATTCCCCTCAGGAACGCGCTTCGGCTAAGAGTCTCCTCCGGCTCCCTGACGCCGACGCAGGCCCGGCGAAGGCTGCCTTGCCGGGCGCCTCCGTCTGCCCGAGTTACCTCAGCTCCGTTGTGGAAACGCCTCAGGAGCCGAGGCGGTGGTCGCGGTCACTCTCGCCCCCCCAGCCCCTCGTGGACAATAGCCAGGTGGAGATGGCACACACGGCTCTCCCCCCGGAACGGGACTGGCTGCACACCCCGGAGCTGCCCCTGGAGCCCGTGCCCCCCGAGAGACACAAATTACCCACAGCCATTCCCCTGCCGGGCCTCCCTGCCGAGAAGCCGCTGAGGGGCAGCCTTACCAGCCAGAGCAGCGGCCGAGGCAGCGTGTCCTTCCTGAGGCCCCCCTCGCTGGCACCGTCCTTGGGAGGCAGCTACCTCAGTTCCCCCTTTGGGGAAATGGCCAGTTGGCAAAGCAACTCCACCGGAGAGGACGGCAGGCCCAAACCTTCAGTCACGGCCGTCAGCAAAAGGTGAGGAGGAAGGGGAGGAGAACCGAAAACTGTGCAGGTCGTTTCAGGGGATAGCTGTGTGGGTCTGCAGTAGAAGGAGCTGGGTTCGAGTCTTGTAGCGCCGTAGAGACTCACAAGATTTCTGGGGTATGAACCGTTGAGAGTCAAAGTCTATGTTGGTGGTCTTTACACGGCAAGTGATTAAAATGTGGAATTCGCTCCCAGAGGACGTGGTGATGGCCCACAGACATAGACAGCTATAAAAGGAGACTAGACAGATTCATGGAGGAGGTCAATGGCTACTATTTATTTGTTTGTTTATTATTCAAATTTATATTCTGCCCTCCCCGCCAGCGGGCTCAGGGCAGATCACAATACTAGAAACACGTCAGAAATTTCAAACATATAAAATACAGATATGGACAATGAAGGCGATTTAAATAAATTAAAACAGAGCACACCATTTATCCTCATACAGAGGTTTCCAGCTTGCGCCATTGGTCTCTCAAACTTCTTAACCTTGGGCCACTCCAAGTTCAGCCGGGGAGGTCGAGATTGTATTGGACGCCTGCCACCTCAGCCAGATACTAGCCATGGTGACTGATGGGAACCTCCGCATTCAGGGGCAGTAAACCTCTGAATCCCAGAGCCAGGAGGTAACTTCAGGGGAAGGCCTCGGCCTCTCTGCCCTGTTATTGGCCCTCCAGAGGAACTGGTTGAGAGACCACCGTGTGAGGCAGGATGCTGGACTCGATGGACCACTGGGTTTATCCTCTTATGTTCTTACGGCTTTAAGGTGCTATTTGACTTCAGTCTTGCTCTAAATTTGGGTAGAATTTTTGTCTCAGATGCAGCTTCCCGGTGGACTAGCCGGATAAAATTGCGACAGACAGAGCTTTTTTTGTAGAAAAAGCCCAGCAGGAACTCATTAGCATAATAGGCCATACCCAACAGCAGGAACTCATTAGCATATTAGGCCACACCCATGACAGCACAGCTCATTAGCCTATTAGGCCACACACCCCATGTTACCAGAAGTGTGGTCATCCAACCACACCCAGCTTTTGCTTCTTATTCTGTTTACCTTGTTTGTTGTCAAAACCCAGGGCTTTTTTTGGAGCAGGAACTCCTTTGCATGTTAGGCCACACACCCTTAATGTAGCCAATCCGAATGAGTTTCTGCTGTTGGGTGTGGCCTATTATGATAATGAGTTCCTGCTGGGTGTGGCCAACTTGGGAGCCAGCTGGAACTCCGTTCCTGCCCAAAAATAGCCCTGGCAACAGATAAAGGAACACAGGTTTCTTGTCCCTTGGGCTCCACAGATAAACTTTAGCAGAGGGCCTATTGTCTGCTTACAACTACAAAAGCCAAGCTCAGAAACAAATCGGATCCCCAGTCAGAGGTTGCCTATTATTTATTTGGTTGGTTGGTTCAGTTTCTATCCCACCCTTCCCGCAAACGGGCTCAGGGCGGGTTACAACCAGTGTTCCCTCTAAGCTGAGTTATTGTGAGCTAGCTCACAGTTCTTTAGCCTCCGGCTCACACATTTTTGCCTTAGCTCAGGAAGGAGGGCTCCAGAACAAACTAATTTATCTAGTAGCCAAATCGCTCGCTCACAACTTTAATGCCAGTCGCTCACAAAGTAGAATTTTTGCTCACAAGACTCCACAGCTTAGAGGGAGCATTGGTTACAACAACATTTAAGTGCGCAGACTCTAATCTGGGAGGACCGGGTATGATTCCCCACTCCTCCACATGCAGCTGCTGGATGACCTTGGGCAAGCCATAGTTCTGGCACAGCCGTTCTTGAGAAAGAGCCGTTTCTGTCAGAGCTCTCTCAGCCCCACCTACCTCACAGGGTGTCTGTTGTGGGGAGGGGAAGGGAAAGGAGTTTGTAAGCTGCTCTGAGACTCCTTCGGGTAGTGAAGGGCAGGGTATAAATCCAATCTCTTCTTCTTCTTCTTCTTCTTCTTCTTCTTCTTCTTGAACAATAAAAAAACAGACATTAAAACTGTAAAATCTTAACCCCTACCCGATGGCACTCAGAATTGCCTCAGGCCATTTCCATGGTGTCCCGATATAATTCGGTTTCAGGCAGAAAGGGCTAGATCCCATGGCCTGCAGGGGAAATCAAACGGGTGGTTTTCTGAATGCGAAAACTTAAAACCGGTCTTGGTTCAACTTCCCTCAGTGCACATTTTGAATTTTATCTGAGGGGTGCAGAATCAACTGGGCAGAGTCCTGGCGGTGTGCCTTTCAGACATGGCTCTGTTGGGCGGTATCCCCAATTTGACTGAAAGCGCCAGAAGGGATCGTGTCCTTATTTTGCAGGAGCGGGAAGGGAAATGCCGTGGAATCCTTCTGAGTGCCACCTCGAGAGGAATTTGCTCGGCCTCGCTCTAAGGAGTGGCCCACTTTCCTCTCCAGACGTGGCTACCATGCTGGGCAGGTGCTTGTCAGTTCCCAGACCCTTCTTAAGTTGTGTAGAATGTGGAATTTCATGAGAGGTTGACGTTTGGCCCCAGGGAGGTTGTCGGGGAGCGGGAGTCTGGCAGGAATTCTCCTTTCTCAGCTCTTCGGAGGCCTCTGGGCTACCTGTCGGGGTCTGGATGTGGCACGAACACTGCCAGAAGCACCCAGTTCCAACAGAGAGCTGAAAACCTGGGCCCAGGCCGGGAGCGGAACTGCCCTGCCATGGATGGTAATCCGAGGTGGCTTGCCATTCAGGATAATTTGGTTTGCAGCTGTCATTCCTCTGTTGCCCACAAGGTGGAGCTTTCCTTCTGAACCCCATTCTGTCTGTGCCTGTTTCAAAAGTTACTGAAATGCTTCTTATAAGGAAAATATTTGGGCAGTTTCACTCGAAATTTATGATGACTTTGAACAGATACGTGCAATTAAATCCAAGAAGTTGGGGTGGGGGAGTGTTTGTGTGCTCTTTTTCTGCTTAGTTACATCTGTTTTCTCTCCAGTTTGGTATAGTGGTTAGGAGAGTGGGCCGGGTTTGAGTCCCCACTTCTCCACATGCAGCTGCTGGCGTGACCTTGGGTCAGTCACAAGTTCTCTCGGAGCTGTTCTCTCAGGAGCAGTTCTCGAGAGAGCTCCCTCAGCCTCACCTGCCTCCCAGGGTGTCTGTTGTGGGGGAGGGGAAGGGAAAGGAGATTGTAAGCCGCTCTGAGACTCCTTTGGGTAGTGATGGGCAATGTTCCCTCTAAGCTGTGGAGTCCTGTGAGCAAAAATTCTACTTTGTGAGCTACTGGCATTAAAGTTGTGAGCGAGTGATTTGGCTACTGCATAAATTAGTCTGCTCTGGGGCCATCCTTCCTGAGCTAAGACAAAAATGTGTGAGCCAGAGGCTAAAAAACTGAGCTAGCTCACACTAACTCAGCTTAGAGGGAACACTGGTGATGGGCGGGGTATAAATCCAATCTCCTCCTCCCCCCTCCCTCCCAAGCTCCATGGGAATTTGGTCTGCTTTAGTCATCTTCGTCCCCCCGAGAAGACCTAGATCCACATCCTCCCCCCTCATGCCATGGAAGCTTGCTCGGCCAGTCGCACACATTAAGCCTAACCTACCTCACAAGTCTGTCGTGAGGATAACATGGAGAGGAGAATGCTGTGAGGCACTTTGAGCCCCCACTGGGAAATGTCTCAAAAGCAGTCGAGGGAGAAGAGAATCCGGCCCTGTGGCCGCTCCACCCTGCCGCCCCTCTCTTCCTGAGCTCCCCCAGGCCCCGTGGTAACGTCATCCCCTTGGTTCCCCCCCAGGAGGAACACCTCTGTGGATGAGAACTACGAATGGGACTCGGAGTTTGCCCTGGAGTCGGACTTGCTGGATGCCCTGCAGCTCTACCGCAGCGGGAATCCCAAACGACCCGTCTCCACCATCGCTGCCCACGAATTGGAGAAACAGAGTGAGTGTTGGGGGGGGGGGCGGTTTCCGCGGAGGCCTGAAAAATCCACTCGCAAAGCTGGGAGCAGAGGCGACTGCCAAGTGCTGCAACAGCCAAAAAAGGGGAAAGTCGTGAACGGCAGATGCATTATCGAAAGGTGTGTTGTTCTGAATTCTGACAGAACACAACTCAAGAATCAGGGTGTGACGACCCCTTAACTGGGGAGGTCTGGTTTTACTTTAAAAGTGTTCTTTATGTTTGGTTCTACTAAGTATATCCGGCTGCCACCAGGAAATTTAAGGCTTTCCAAACCTTTATACTATAATATTTCTATCACTGGGTAGGTAGGTCGGTTTTTAGGCTTTCATGAGGGTCTATGTGTTTCCTGGGAAGTATTTCTTTCAGAACTGGTATCTTAAATAAAAGTAGATTTATTGATATAATTCGTAAATAAAAGAGTATAACAAGGTAACCGGTACGGTGAATACTTTGAACAATTGTTTGGTGTCTCACATAAGATGTGCTCCCTATCTGTCAGGGATATTTCAGGTATGTAACTTTGTAACTTTAACTCAAGGTCATGTAAGTTCACTGTTTCTCTCCAGGACATACAGCCTTTCCTAAACTTTGTCTTCAATTACCTTCATTTACATTTTACTATTCTCTCAGAACAACCTCAGCTGTTCTTAACTGCACACACACAAACTGCTTCTCTCTCAGACTTCAGAACGAACTAACTGACTGCTTAACTGTCCTCATCAACTGTCACCCTTCAGCTGTCAAAACCTCAAACTGTCACTCCTGATAGACATACATATTCATCCACACAGCATCACTTCCAAAACCCCTCCCTCTCTCTGTCACTCACCAATCACACCACCCTTGCCTCTTCAAGCACTCTAGACTATCACATGCAACCAAACTTTTAAGAAGACACACACCCATAAACAAGGAATCGTTACACAGGGCTTCTAGCTCTCAAGGTATCTGGGGTCATTTGCACGGCTGTGGCATTCGGCTCATGGCTCTCTCTCACACACGGTTCCCCTGACCAAAAATAAGTCCCTCCAACATAGCAGCAAGCCTGCTCCGATGCTGCAGGTGAGAGCCGTTCAGTGAACGCACTTAAGATTTTCTCGGTTGGGGGTGAGCTTGCAGATTTAAGATATTGCAACGAAAGGACCGGACGTCGTCTACCTGACTTTTCCAGGAACATCCCCTTTGGTTGTTTTCTGCTCTTCTCCCTGAGCCCGGTCAAGTGGCTCTCCTACCCACTACTCAGTCTCCAGGAATGTTGGTAGCCTTCTGCCTCCCCACCTCAGAATGAGGAAACGGGTTGGAAGGAGCTGTGGCTCAGGGGTAGAGCGTTTGCCTGGCGTGCAGAAGGTCCCAGGTTCAATCCCCGGGGCCTCCAGCTAAAAGGACCAGGCAGTAGGTGATGCAAAAGCCCTCTCTGCCCGAGACCCTGGAGAGCCGCTGCCAGTCAGAGTAGACAATGCTGATCTTGACGGACCAGTGAGTGTCCTGATTGGGGGGGGGGGTCACCTGACGCTGCCACCACTCTGGTTTTAGGTTCCCTTGAGAAGGCCCAGAGCACCCTCCCAAGACCTTCAGACCTCCCTTATCTGGCTGAATAATAGGCATGAGAACCAGGCAGAGTAAACAACAAATAAAAGGTTTATTTTACAGGAGGTCAGTCAAATATGGGAAATAAACAAGGTGCAAGAGCGATAACAGTAAGTGGGTGAAGGGAAAAGAAACCAAATGCCCTAACGCGCCCAGACTCACAGTCCCCAGCTCACTGTCCCAGTTGGGCCTCAGTCTGCTCACCCTTCCTCTCCGGGTGAGGGTCTCTCCCCTGCAGCAGCCTTCCTTCTGGCCCTGCTCTCTTGGAAGAAAGAACAGCTCTTCTTCTGTACCAGCTCTTTTATTAGAAGTCCCCTTTCTCTGTGATTGGCTAAAATTGGCGCCAAATCCTCTCAGGGGCTTCTGGGAGTTGTAGGCCTGGCCTCCTCCCACTGCGACTCAGGCTCCCTGGGCCTGCTAGGCCTTTGCTTGCACATCCCAGGTCATGACAGGAGGGATGAAACATTCATGCCAAACAGGGCAAATCGATCTCTGTTAGGCAAGATGGAACCTCCATGTCCACGTGCAGTCTGCTTCTGAATACTGGATGCTGGAGCTGAACGAGAAAAGGGGGGCATCGCCTTCATGCTTTGCTTGTGAGCTTCACGGAAGACGCTTGCCCAACCACTTTTGTAAACGGGATGCCAGAGCAGATGGAACTTTGGTCCAATCCAGCCAGACGTGTCTTAGGGTCTTGCGTTCTTTCCTTGATGTCTCTCTGATCGTCGCACTTTCCAGACGAAAACATGCCTCCCATGACAGCTAAGAAAGTTCAAAAGACACAGCTGTTGTAGGTACTTAAAATGAGACCAAGGGTTGTCACCTAAACGACAAGTCATAGAAACAGGAGGGGAGGGGAGGTACTAGAAGAAGCTCTTTGACATCAGGACAGAGCAGTGACTTGTGAGCCAGTTTCCACACCCAGCTGAAACCCAGCTGGCAATCCTGAGTCGGCATCCTAGTTAGAATGGGGCTGGTCAAGCGGTTCTTATCCCTCTCGCCACTGACAGAAGCCGGAGTGATCTTCCTCAGGGTGTCGCGCTACCACAGTTCCACCTTCTCCCGGTTGGAGAGAGGCCCTCCCAGTTCCTGACCCTCCCGCCATCTTCTCCCCTCTGCAGGTTCGAAGTCCTCCAGCGAGAGCAGCGGCTCACCCTCCAGCTCACAGTCCGTGGGGGCCTTAGACGGGTCAAGCTCCCCCGTGCCCAGCCCCGAGGAACGCTGTGCCGCCCTGCGCGAGGAGTTCCTGGCCTACCGGCGGCGCCGAGAAGCCACCCAGCAACGCCGGCAGAAGCTGGCCTCTGGCCGGAAGCGTAGCAGTGAGCGATTTGAGCAGGCCACTTTGCTGTGAATGGGGGGGAGGCCCTCCAGCGAATCAGCTTTGCCCTGCCGCCCCCACAAGGGGATGGTATCTCAGCAATCCCAGGGGGCAGAGCGGTGGTGCCCACCCCGGTCACCTTCTGGCTAGAGGAGGGGCATCCTCTAGTCTGGGGCTACAGAGAAAGGACTGTGCGTCCCGCCTGGAGCAGTTCACGGTTCCGCAGACACTGGAGCAGGGAAGCCTGGGGAAAAGGCCGGGCTCTGCAGCACCCATAGAAGATCCCGTTCTAAGGAGAGTGGATTTGTTTAGCTACTGGTTGTGTGGATTTTTTTAAAAAATTGATTGGGGGGGCGCTGTTTTGTAAAACTTGACATTAAAAAAAAAAGTTGTGTTAAGTTTGGAATTGTTTGAAATTGGAAACATGCCATTCTGTGAACACAACACCCGACCCGGAGCAAAGACAGGAAAGGGTAACAGAACAGGCAGAAGGTCCCAGGTTGAATCCCCATCATCTCCATTTGGGAGGGCAGAGCACCTGCTTGGCAGGCAGAAGGTCCCGGGTCCAATCCCCATCATCTCCATTTGGGAGGGCAGAGCACCTGCTTGGCAGGCAGAAGGCCCCAGGTCCAATCCCCATCATTTCCATTTGGGAGGGCAGAGCACCTGCTTGGCAGGCAGAAGGCCCCAGATTCAATCCCCATCATCTCCATTTGGGAGGGCAGAGCACCTGCTTGGCAGGCAGAAGGCCCCAGGTTCAATCCCCATCATCTCCACTTGGGAGGGCAGAGCACCTGCTTGGCAGGCAGAAGGCCCCAGGTCCAATCCCCATCATCTCCACTTGGGAGGGCAGAGCACCTGCTTGGCAGGCAGAAGGCCCCAGGTTCAATCCCCATCATCTCCACTTGGGAGGGCAGAGCACCTGCTTGGCAGGCAGAAGGCCCCAGGTTCAATCCCCATCATCTCCATTTGGGAGGGCAGAGCACCTGCTTGGCACGCA